CCCCAAAACCCCAAAACCCCAAAACCCCAAAACCCCATAATGCAGCTTCAATGTTGGAATATATTTTAATTATAATTTATAGAAGAATGGTAAGGGCACTGGGAAAATTAAAGTTATAAGTTAAAAGTCCAGTTTAAAACATCATTTGTATTGGGTCTCAAACTTATGATATATTTAGAATTCTCACAACAGCTCATTCGCATCCATTTTTGCAGCAGAAGGATTTATGGAAATTGATAGTGCAAGAAAAGATAAAAAGAGATCTAAGACAACTAAGAAATCAGGTGAAGATTCATTAATTTAATGGTTTCTTTAAATGTCTATTATTTCAAATATTCTAACGGGCAAATTAATAGATACAACAGTAGTAGCCACAAGAAATAATGAATATAATAGTGCATTTCCTGAACTCAACAAGGTATTTTGTTACTGATCCTCTAGTCTATGATAACAATGGAAGACCAGATGAAACATATTAATAAGAAGATTTATAAAATACTCAACAGAAGAAAGGATGAATTTGATCATGCCAAAAGTCTAGAGCGTAGAAAGCATTTAAACAAAGAGGCTTATCAGTTACTCCAGAATAACACTAGGCAGGAAGAAGTGAAGCTGAGAAAATAAGTATAAAACATTAATTAGTGTACGTATTATGATTAACAGAATAGAACCAGCTCTGAGAGCTACATAACTCGCCCAAAGAGGAGAATAGAATAATTGAAGAGAAAATGCAAATGCTCAAAGAAAGAGCATTACAAAGAGCTATCCAAGTTAATCTTGAGATTAAATAAAAACAGTGATTGGACAATGCCCAAACTTGTCCAAAATGTGCTGAACAGGAAAGAAAGAATCAAAGAAGAAAAACAAAAAGAGCTAGACCAGATAAAAGCAGCTAAGGATCTGAGACACCAGCTTGCTCACAGGAATGTCCTCAGTAATATGGGGCAATGGTTCACGAAAAATCTAAGTGTATTTACAAACAAAGGGAAGCTCAAAAGCAAGCAAAAATCGATAAAGGAGGATAAGATTGAAGAAGAGATTCAGTATGAGAAGATTTATTCTAAAATGATTCCAACATTCAACATGCCTGATTACGCCAGAGATAAGGATAAATAGCTTTCAAAGAGTTCATCTTGGAAGAGCTTTCATGATAGACCAGGCTATCTTTAGAGAACTAAAGAAGCATGGCAAGAATAAGTAATTTGTTTGTTTATGTGTAGTTCAGTAATTACCTCTCCATCTAATAGCTTGGCTCCTTTAAAAAGCAAGAAGAATACAGCAAGAGTAAGGTTTATGGTATATCAATAGGATGATCTGGAAAAAGGAAAATTTAATCTCAGAGATCTGCCTAAGTTAAGAATGACATGACTTGAGAAGTTAAAGGTTAAGGCACCAAAATTATTTGAAGAAGAATAATAGAAATCATCAATAATTTATATATATTTTGGGGTTTTGGGGTTTTGGGGTTTTGGGG